GGCTTTGCCCCCTCCCGTGCCGCCAGCAAACAGGGCGGTGGTCTCTTTGGTGCGCCGCCAGGACAATTCAAATAGTAAATTGAAACTTTAATCATGTACAATACATTGTACCATCAACAGACACTAGCTTAGAACATTATTCAACTCGTACATGGGCCTGTCGACAATTAACCTGTCGAAGCTGAGTCGCGACAGGTCGATGGTGCGGAACTGCCCATCCATAATCAGCTCGCAAATGGCTCGACCCACAGCCACCGACTGCTGTATGCCGTGCCCACTAAACCCTGTGGCAATGTACAAGTTGTGGTAGTACGGATGTGGTCCCACGATTCCGTTCTCATCGTAGACATTGTGCTCGTACAGACCCGCCCAGCTGTCTACAACTGTGACTGCCTCGAAGGCGGGCACTCGCTCCACGAGTGCGGGCCTAATATGCTGCTCAAAGTACTGCGGATCAACCAGGCAATTATTGCTGTTTGGATCGATTTGCGAGTCGGAGTTGTGCCCGCAGATGTAGTTGCCGCCCAAGCCGTCTCTCCGTATGAACGTCCCATTGGAATCGATGGTTATGGGCATGGCCATGCCGGGTGCATTCTGTGCCTGCGTGGTGATGGCATACATGTACCGCTTTCGCGCATCTATGGGCAAGGGAACCCGCAGCATTCCCGCCCCGGTGCCAATGCGTGCCAGTCGTCCTACATTCCCCGAATTAGCTCCGGCTGCAATCACGCAGAGAGCAAACTTGCACGTGCGTCGCGTGCCATCCGGCAGTTGAATGACGGCCTTGTCTAGACCATCAAAGCAGCCCTCGTTGGCACTGTTGTCACCCGAAACCGTTATATCCGGCTGTTCTTGGAAATCAAAGTCCACCACTTCTCCATTGACGAAATGCGCGCCATGTCCGCCAGCAGAGCGACGAAAGTTTGTGAGTAGCGCCCACGAATTGAACCAGCCCTCCTTCTCGATGCCATGGCAGCCCAGGGCAACGCCCTTGGTGTTCAACCAGGGGAATCGAGCCGCCAGGCGATCAGGTGTCAGAAGCTCGTTTCGTGCACCCAGCTCGTTTTGCAGCTGCGACGCATTCTTTAGGCTCTCGGCGCCCTCCTCCCCAGCGAGCAGCAGATGGCCCTGGGGCGTAAAGTTGAGTGGAACGGCCGAGCCAAAGTTCTCCTTGGCGTTGCGCAAAAAGTCGGCAGCAAAGAGTGACATTTGTATGTTTTCGGGCAGAGAGAACTGCTGACACAGGCCGCCAACAGAAACGCGTGTGGCAGATTGGGCGTACTAGAAAAAGGCAAGAGACATTTTACTCTGAGGACTTATCCACGTTGCTCCCACATACCGTTTCATCCTTCTCGACAACCACAACGTTAAGGCCATCGCGCGCCTTCTCCTTTAACCAGTAAGCAATGGAACTACCAACACCGCCACCGCCGATGATCAGCACATCGCAGTGCGTCTGGAATTCATCCAGCTGGCTGGGATCCGGTCCTTTGTCGCCCTCAAAGTTGAATTTACTTTGTGTCAGAATTCTTTGTGAGGTGTTTTCTGCAATGGGATCCTTGGGCACAAAGAATTCCTTGACTTTGCGCATATCATTGCCAAGTATCCGAAACGTCCGCCTAATTGGATGCTTGTCTTCGTCGACACTGTCGCTGCCACCGGGATTTCCGTCATTGCCAGCGGCCCCAGACGAGTAGGAACGGTGTGTCAGAATGCGCACAATGGGTCTGTATCGTAACATTTTAAAAGGTGAGAATTTATATATATTTTCATTCACATTCCAGTCGTTTTGATTTTATAATAGCAAAAACGTCCACAGAATATACCGAAGTATGTCTTATTAATTTCAAAATATACCGTAAATATACCGGAAAGACCAAACTTAACCCACCTAGCCACGCTCTATTTAAGAGGTTAAAAACCTAGATTTAAGACGGATTTCCAAGCAAATATTATCGGAACAAATTCTAGTTTAGTGCTGAGAATCCTAGCAAGCTAGAAATATTAAATATAACATAAAAATCGAGGACACTAGTTTAAAATTTATAATGTATTTGAAAATGAGAAGGTATTTTGATACATTTTTGAGGGTCGTGCGGTATATTTCAGCGATAAATCTACGGTCACACTGAGCAGCAGCAACATTACTAGGCATTTTTGATTTCGTTTGGAAAAAATACGAAAAGTTGGCAATTATTGTAAATTAAACGTTCCACAAGATGACTAACGCTGCAGATATCGGTACTCAGGATGTTGAGATGGAGGTTGATCCTCCAACGGCCGAAGTAGCACTGGCAGACGAAAAGAAAAACCAAGATGTTGCTGCTGTCCAAGAGATACGCGAACAGATACGACAAATCGAAAAGAGTGTCGCTTCGAAGGAGCCGCGGTAAGTCTTCGAACTCACATAGAATAATTTCAGTAATGTTTATGGATTCTTTTGCCACAGATTCATCTTGCGCGTGCTGAGAAATTTGCCCAACACCCGCCGCAAGCTGAACGGCGTTGTGTTCCGCAATCTGTCGCAGAGCATCTACCCAGCTGGTGCGGATCGTGAGGCTGCACTGGCCTTGATGCCCGCTCTGGAGAAGGACGCCACCGAGTTGCCTGATGTTGGCAAAAAACTTGTGGCTACAAAGGCACCAATAGCAGAGGTGGATGCATACTTCTATCTACTGCTACTGGTTAAATTGATCGACGCCAATGATCTGAAGCGCGCCGGTACGTGTGCCGATGCCTTGATGGCCAAAATATCCATCCAAAACCGTCGCACCCTGGATCTCATCGGCGCTAAGTCTTATTTCTACTTTTCGCGAGTTGCTGAGCTAAACAACGCCCTGGAGGGCATTCGCGCCTTCCTGCACGCCCGCTTGCGTACCGCCACCCTGCGCAACGACTTCGAGGGTCAGGCCGTGCTTATAAATTGCCTGCTCAGAAACTATCTGCACTATGCTCTGTACGATCAGGCTGACAAGCTGGTGAAGAAGTCTGTCTACCCCGAGTCGGCCAGCAACAATGAATGGGCCCGTTTCCTCTACTATTTGGGTCGCATCAAGGCAGCCAAGCTGGAGTACAGTGACGCACACAAGCACCTGGTCCAGGCCCTCCGCAAATCGCCTCAGCATGCGGCCATCGGCTTCCGTCAGACCGTGCAGAAGCTGATCATTGTAGTGGAGCTGTTGCTGGGCAACATTCCCGAGCGCGTTGTGTTCCGCCAGGCGGGACTACGACAGTCGCTTGGTGCCTACTTCCAGCTCACCCAGGCTGTGCGTTTGGGCAACCTGAAACGTTTCGGCGACGTGGTGTCGCAGTATGGACCCAAGTTCCAGCTGGACCACACCTTCACACTGATCATCCGCTTGCGCCACAATGTGATCAAGACTGCCATCCGTTCGATTGGTCTCTCCTACTCGCGCATCTCGCCACAGGATATCGCCAGGCGCTTGATGCTGGATTCGTCCGAGGATGCCGAGTTTATTGTTTCGAAGGCCATACGCGACGGTGTAATTGAGGCCACTCTGGATCCGGCACAGAACTACATGCGCAGCAAGGAGAGCACCGACATTTACAGCACACGGGAGCCCCAATTAGCCTTCCACGAGCGCATCTCGTTTTGCCTAAATCTTCACAACCAGAGCGTCAAGGCCATGCGCTATCCGCCCAAGTCGTACGGCAAGGATCTGGAAAGTGCTGAGGAGAGACGCGAGCGTGAGCAACAGGACCTGGAACTGGCCAAGGAGATGGCTGAAGATGATGAGGATGGTTTCTAAGCTTCTGCAGGTTCTTTGTACATGTACTAATTCACCATAGAAATATAACCAACAATTTAATAAGTTACAAAATGAATTACATGTTGGGTTTCAAGCTAAAAAGATTTTATGCAACTTGAAGAATTTGAGCACCCAACTGGTGAAAGACATTGCAATAATTCTAATGAAGTGAAGAAGAAAGATTGATCTGCAATGAGGGGGCTACCTTAAAAATGTCAGCTGTGTAAAAGAGTAGTAGTCCGAAAAATTAAAAGCGAGATTTAAATATATTAAAATATATTTACTACAAATCGATAGTTTCGAACAAAACTATTAGACAAAAGTATACAATTTCACATCGCTAGTTTGTCCAATCAGCTGTTTGCTACCCACTCCTTGACAGCCGACTAGAGTAGTTAGTTTTGTATAATATCCTTTATATGCTTTATAAGAAAATTGCGTTAATTTCATCTAAAATTATCCATTGATAATAGGTATTATATTTAGTTCATGGAATCCTCCATACTCGGTTTATTTTCGCAGCAGCCAGCTCATACTTGACACGCAAAAATGAGTCAGGAGAGTGTAAAAAGGCGAAACTTGCAAGCTTTTTAACAATCTCGTACAAAGCTCACCTTTTCATGAGGTTCGCACAATATGCCTTGAATACGATTGAATGAATGAACGCGTCGCGAAAAACAAGGAAACCCCGGAAAACTCGCGTGGACAGAATTCAGACAAATCCGTCTGTGTGCGTGTTGCTACTTGTGTGAGTGTGCCTGTGTGTGTGTGTTTGAGCGTGTGAGTGGCACAAGTTTATGTTTTTGTTTATAATCGCACCCACGCCGCTCTCACTTACTTGTGACGTCACAACAACGTTTCGATCATCTTGCGTGCAATTGCAAATTGTGTAATAGTGTATTAATAAACCATACAAATAAGACAACAAACGCAGTGAAAATGCGACGACAATGTCAGGCTGCATTCCGGCACCTGGTGCGTCACTGCCAGGCGACAGCCCCCACAACGATAACAACGACAACAACAAGGTTGTGCGCCCGAAGATTCTGCCTGCTCCAAGTGGCGCCCGAGCTGACCCACAGACGGCGCTACTCAAAATTCAGCACCCACCTAAACGAGGAGCGGGCCATGGAGCTGCTGTGCAATTTGGATGAGGAGGAGCGCCACAATCTGCGCGACGCTCTGGGCAAAATAGACGCCGACAAGGAGAAGAAGATGTACGAGAGTAAGTGCTTTGCTTTTCAAAATGTCATCATTTACTACGTCTCCGTCAATTACATCAAGCTTAAACAGATTTCCTAGTGGAGTGGCCACTCCCGTGCTCATAGGTTTTTGTTCGGTCGCATCAATTTTCCGATTTCCTTTACATCAAGCCATGTTTGACGGCCTCGGTCTTGAAGCAGGCGCCATAGGCTTCGGCAGCCTCGCAATGGTCATCTGGCACTGTGATAGCCGCGCAGATATCGCCAATCTCCATGGCAATCTTTAGCTTGGCAGGATCGTTGCCGGAGTACTGCTTGGCCTTCTCGTGTCCAGCGGCGTTGTCCAGCTTTCCGTTGTCGTCGAGCAGACCACACTTCTTCATCACACAGGCACGCAGGCACTTGCCCTCGTAAGTGGTGGCCGGCTGTTTCTTGACCAGATCCTGCAGATCGGTATCTTTGGCGCCCACTTCGCCCAGACAGGCCTCCGCGCTCTCCATCATCTTGGCCATGGCCTCCTGCTCGTCAAAGCCGCGCACCAGAACGGCGCCCAGGAGCACCACAACGAGCAGAGCGCATACAAAGCGAGGCATATTTTTGATTTGTTTGAATTTAGTTAGATGTTATACCAATGAACCGAATGACAAACTGATTTATCTCCAAAGATATGGCCCACATTTATATAGTAAACTCAACAGCATGTTGTGTGGGGGAGATTCGCTCAGCTGTGAAATGATATACCATGTCGTTTAACTTTACAATGTCCCCACACAGCTAATTGCCCAAATCGCAATTGTTATTATTTCGTTATTCTGTCCTATTTGCATTTTTGCCAGTTTGTTGAGTTGTGAGCAATAACTGAAACTCTCCAGCCACCGCCCCCATCCGACACGCAGGTTCCAACAGAAATAGTAGTCACCCCGAAATAAAATATACAAAAAATATACAGAGCTCCCAATGTCATCTCATCATGACGCGGGTGTTTGTCTACTTTCGGCAGACAGTCGCTTTCGGTTTCCTTCTATCTGGGTGTCCTGCAAGTACTCTGGACTGTGTGCGTACGTGACCAAGGTCCTTTCTTGTTCCAGAAACCACCACAGATTCGCCATTTCCCTTTCGTCCTTCCTGCGTATGAATGTTAGCCGTTTCTGGTCCTATTATTCTCGCCTTTCCTTTTGCCATCATGTACGTGCAACATGTGTATACATATGAACATACATATGTACATATATCGGAACAAAAATCAATCTACATGTGCGGCTGTTCATCATTCAGTTAATCGCCACGCCGCACAAATTGCATTTGACAGATAAGAGAAGCCAAAACCATTCCCCATGCCCCCCAATGTTTTTTCTGGATCTAAATGATTTTGTGTAGATGGCTGGGATAAACCTTTTAGATATAAGCTTAAATTTTGGATATCATAGCCCTTAAACGATCCCCTTTTTATTCAGTAAAACCTACCCCATTGCATTAATTCCAGGAAATGCTATCTACTCCACCATTGATATGTAACCTTATGTCTTAAAGATTATGGATACCACAAGCGTGTTCCTCTACCGCATATTTTATTTACCAGAATTGACTGGCTCTTTGACAAACAAACACAAAATTTGTTTTAGCCTTTGCCTCGCTCGGTTTGCTTGGAATACAAATGGAAATTCTCTAACGCTGTCTGCAGCATCAGACGTTGGCGCTGTCCAGAAATATAAACTCTTTAAATATGTGCATTTATTTACGCAGTAAAAACAAAACAGAAAGCAATGCCCTGCATTTAGTTTCGTTTGAATTTGTTCTGCTGCTCATTAAAATTTGAGGAGCGACCGTCGGACCTTTTCTGTGTTACATACATATGTATGTATGTATGTAGGTACATACATATGCACATATGTATGTTTACATCCACTTTGGAGCACAAATCCTATGTACCCAATTTCCTGTTAGAGGACCGGGTATAAAGACCAGCAGTAGGAACAACTTTAGTTGCTTTCACGTTGCTTTTGTTGCAAGCTCATTTTAATTGAATATAAAGTAATGAAGTGGAATTATTTCATGGCAAAACGTTCCTACTGAAACGTAGAGACGCTTCTTACGCGTCACCTTAGCGGTGTTTTGTCAAATTTTAAATTTTTTCTTCGTCTGTCATCTGTCATCTACATCTACAACACTTCTCACACCAACACGCTCCTTTAGCTCGACCCCCTTCCCTAGACCCACATACTGCAGACTCGCGGCAGAGGCAGAGAATGTGTGAATGAGAGAATGTGAAAAAAACAAATATAAGCTGCGGGACAGGGTAGGTTTAGCCACTGCAAATTAATTTCATCATTGTGGCCATAATAATGACCCAATCGGATCCCAATTTGGTGATCTGATAGATATGGTCATTCCCTATCTTCCTTATCTTCAAAATTGTAGCTTTTGTAGGTTATCGCCCTTTTGCGGGGGTGGGGCTCATTTTTGAAATACACTGGTTTAAGTGTGGGCATACAGCAGTCGGGAGCCAACATTTGGTGGCTCTAGTTCTTATAGTCTCTGAGAACTAGCCGACAAACAAGACTATCGACTCGTCTATTGATGCTGATCAAGAATATATATACTTTATGGGGTCGGAGACGTTTCCTTCTGTGCGTTACATACAACCGTTATTCCCCTATTTACTCTTCGAGTACCGGGTATAAAAACGACTACTGAAGTTTGGAGAGAACATCGTAAGAAATGAAATGAAACTCCCATCTGGCAGTTATAGGATGTAACAGGTGTGTTTATGCTAAGGTGTTGCTTCTTTGTAGCACGGTTCCATTACTTTTATAGTCAAAGCAAAACCTTAAAGAACATCGGAATAGTCTAACATTGAAAGAAATTTTAAAACATAACCTGTGAATTATTATAGAACAGATACATGCATAAAATACTAGCTGTCCTTGAAATATATTCAATGAACAGATTCTGGAATTATTTACTGATTAACAAACACCTTTCCATGCTCGTATTTAAAGAACCCTTCTCCTCCTGCCCCGGCAGAGTCAAACAAAATATTTGAACACTGGAAACTTTCTGATTAGTTTTTGCGCAACCTCTCGCAAAATGTCGCTGGTTCCGATGTCAGAGGGGAAATGTTGGACGAAAATGCCGTGGACTTAAACAGTCGCCAACGGTTAGTTGTTGGCTCGGAGGCGTCTGTTGACGGCATTGTCTTAACTAATCAGCGAAAGCACTTCGTGTCTTGCTCACGTAACGCCTGACGCCTTGCGGCAAATGCAGATAAGAACTCGTTGACGGTGATTTAGTTGGAGATGCCGGGCAGAATTTTGAACAAATGTTTAAGAACCAAAGATGGTACACTCTACACTCAGCAGCACGTTTATTATTAAGGGAAATGTAGGTGTTTTACGGAATAGTTTTTGAGAACTTTGGAGTGGTTGAAAGGATTAAAATTCACATTTCGAATGGCTTGTGACCTTTCAACTATGGAGAATTTCCTACAGTTCCTACTGGAACAGGGTTATTAGAGAATAAGGAAAATTCAAATTTCACTGCCATAAACCGGCACGTCCTTGCTCCCAACGGAGAATGCCTGAGAGTCCCATGTACAGTCGCTTTTTAGTTGGACTGTTTCCAATATTTAAAATCAATATTAAAATCTGAGTCACTAAATTCATATTTGTCTACCTGACTCCATCTCTGAAATCTATGACACTGACACATCTTTTTTTCGGTCATCAATTTCTAACGTCAAACCACTATTATCTGTGTACTATATCTATAATAAATACAATCAAAGTTTCGCCTGAAATGGTACTTGTAGAAATAAGCGGCTTGAATGCCTTCCACTTACAACTTTTTAACGAATCAACAGAAATGTAAAAACTTTCGGTGTCTTCAGTTTGGTGTCTAAACGGCCACTTAACTTAGTTTTGGAGTACAAGAAAGAATTACAATTTCTTGGGAAATAACTAACTAGAACACGTGGCCAGAATTCCAATAGAAAGATAGACAAACAGAATCGATTGCAATAGAAAGAAAAGATAACCAGAAGCGACTGTAACGGCCTACTTATTTCCTGTTGCTTTCTGCCAGCCGCAAAGTTGTCTCCCTTCTCGAAGGATGGGGGTGTCAAATAGGAAGCTTTTTTATGACTTGATGGCCAGGCAAAACAGGCCACAAAAAGCTCGAATCACTTGTACTAACCCAAGCTAATGAAATTATCGGTTCGCTAGGCACACTCCACTCCTAAAGGAAGTCCCGCACAAAAGTTCCACGCCACAGGCTTCTGTAAGCGAAAGTCTTGAAAGTCGAACAATTTGTTTGCCATTGGGGTGGGTCGTTGTTTGCCATTGGGTTGTGGTGGGTTGTGGTTGCTGTACCCAAACCCCCAAGGTTGCCCCAGGTTCAGTAAGCATTAAATGATGTTCATTGTGTGGCTGGGGCTGTGGCTGTTTGGCGGAAAGTCATGAGGCTTGACAGGCATTGAAGGAAGTGCCTTTTGGGTAGAGAACATATTCTATTAAGTCCCGATTTGACCCAATTTTCCGACACAGCACGGAATCTGAGTGCTTCAATCTCTGAAAATTCGTTCCACTTTATAACAATTACTCGTCGCAGATCGCATGCTCTGGATTAAATGGATTGGGTAAACGGACAGCCCGACAGGCCATAAATTCGAAAGCCATGGCTTCCATGGTGTACTAAACTTTCGACTGAAAAATCAATACAGACAAATCATGGCAATTTAAATGTAAAACGAGTGGAATTATCCGTCGATAAAGTGCAGTTTAACGCGCCGCATCCTTTAGCCAAACTGCAGTTTAATTCCAGTGCATTCAGGTGCAATTTGTCTTCTAAATAAAACCTGACGGCGCGTAACAGTGTACGAGTCTAGTATGGCTGTAGTAATTTGATTCAATGTGTGAGGCAATTTCTTTGAAGCACGTGCCAACACTCGTGGCAGAGGGACAGAGAGGGAGAGTTCTGGAGTAAACGCTGGCTCCTTTGGGAGCAACAGCTGCTTCTGCTCCTACTGCTACTGCTGCTGTGTACCCTCTAATCGGAATACCCAAAGGAGATTGCTTTCTGCTTGTGTTTTTTCGGGGCATAAAACAAAGAAAATCGTTAGTCACAGGGAGAGCACAGGACGCACACTCAAAGGTGCGCCAGCAATAAGAGTGAAAACCGTGCGTTTAAAGCTCTCCCAGATGCTGTCCTGGGATGCCTGGGATCCTGTGGACCCCTGGATTGGGTTGGGCTGGTTGGGCACATCTTTGTACAGAGGCTGCACGTATGTATACACAAGCCATGCTCTTTGGGCTTTGGGCTGTGTGCTTCAGGTTGAGAGCTTCGGGATTTTATTTCTTCTCTGCTTATAACACATTGTGGTCGCGAGATTAGCTGCGTGGTTTTCGTGTATATTTTCAAAGGCAGTTACACTTTAACGCGTGAGGTCAAAGAGCATATACTTGAGGTGGAAGTTGTTTTAATTATATTCTCAACTAATTCAGAAACTGAATTGCTTTTATAATTATTGTATGATCTTTAGTTGATTTACTGCACTATAGATACAGAGTAAGTCTTGCACACGATTCGATAATCTTGCGCACGACAGCATGTTGTTTTTAGGACAATTCCCGAGCATTGACTGGTGCATCTTGAGCAGAG